GAAGATCAGGCAGGATGGGGAGTGTGTCTTGGTGGGCAGGGGGCGGGGCAGGCACACTTGCATTTGGCTAGTACACATTGGGACTGGAGTGCATGCGGGTGCAAGATGGATAAGAGAGAGAAACTTGCCTAGATTTTGACAGGTGGCCCAGCAACAGAACTGGAGCTCATGTGTCCTCCACAGCCCCTAGGAGTGGCCAAGCCTGTATGGCAGATGTACTTGATGCCTAAAGGTGAAGAGGGTCCAGGAAGGGCTTGGGGAGCTGGTATTTAATGCTTCCTGTATCCTGGACGTGGGCATAGGGACACCCCTTTGCACCTCTGTGCAGTCAACACCCATCATTATGTTTACCAAGCGCTTGGCTGCACGAGGCAAAGGAAATTCAGTATCAGGAGTGTAAAGAAACAGTCAGCCCCTTGCCTCTTTCTCTCCACCACACACCGTCACAGAAAGTCAGCTAATCCCACCAACACTAAGGTTAGATTTTCTGAGCAAAGCTTCACTCAAGACACAGCTACCCACAATTCACATTAGCATGAAGGAAAGCATATTCTAAAACTGCCTAAGATTTTTTTTTTTAATGTAGCTTTTAGACTTTGAGAAATTTAATCAAAACTGTCATAAAAGGGCATTCTCCTTTGACTTAGCCTTTCCATTTCAGTAGCAGAAATGTTGCACGAGGCAGAAGAAGAAAAAAGTAATTTAAAAACACCGTTGAACTGAATCTATGGAACACTATTTCGTAGAAAAAGCCCACACTGCTAGAGGCTCCCTAGGGAGCAGGACAGCACTTGATAGCATTTTCGCTGGCAGCTTTAGAGGACAAATTTGTCTTAAGATCCAGGGTATTACTGGGGCTTTAACTAAGTGTGCTGCTGCAAGAGCTTTGACTCTGGGCTCCTGCGGGGGAGATGCCTTATAGAACATCAGGAACCACCAGAGTGACACGCAGACTACCTGCCTCACCTGTGTTAATTTCCAACAGTGAACAAGATGGAGGATAAAAGGCCCCAGGACCGGTCCCTCAATGAAAGGAAACTCTAATCATCACTAAGAAGAACAAATAATAATAATAAGAGCTCTTCTTACATTGGGCTTACTACGTGCCACTTTCCACCCATTAATTAAATTAATTCTCATAAGAGCTCCATGCATTTGGTGCTGTTCAATCCCTGATCCCGAGACGGGCAAGGTGAGACAGAGTGTTTGGTCTGTGGCTTGAACTAATAACACAGAGGACTAATAATGCAGGACTCCTGGGCCTGTGCTACTAAGGAACTAACCTGTGAGTGTGACACACAGCAACTGACTTAAGAGCTACTTTTGCAATGTTTCTTCCCAGCTTTGAGTGGGGCCTGGAATTATTTACAAAGAATTTAGGGGCAGGTGAGACCCCAGCAAACCTGTGATACAGAGTTCATCCTTTTTAGTCCAAATGATCTCAAGGTCAGAGAATCAGCTTCTGGAATCCTGTAGCTGATTGAATACCAGCACATACAAGGTCATTATTGCCATTGGTAGCTGGCTTGCAAATGGACTTTGAAATGTCTTTTGTTGTTCTTGCTGCTTTGAAGGCTTTTTCATTTAGTTGTTAACGTTTCTCCTGCATCATTTTTTTCCCTGTGACGCTAAAGGCCTCAGGACTTGAATTTGCCTGTGACCCCAGCTATCAACAGTACTGAATTTTTTTTCTTAAAATCTGCTTTGCATTAATATGTCTAAGGCCCATCCCTCCATTGGCAGTAAGACATCAGAGCAGATGTTGGCAAGCATTTTCTGTAAAGGGACATATAGTCACTGTTTTAGGCTTTGCAGGTGCCATGGTCACTGTTGCAACTATTCAACTCTGTGTGGTTGCCATTGACAATACTATACACATGGGCATGTGACTGTGTTTTAATAAAACTTTCTTAATACAGCTGACAGGGCAGATTTGGCCCAGGAGGCTTCCTATGCATGGCCCCTGCACCAGAGGGGTACACTTCTTGCCTACTTCCGATCTGCTTCCAAGTACTGAACCCTGGTCACCTCATACCTTGGGCGTCTCTCTGCCCCTTGGTTGATTTGGCCCCAGAAACGTGGAGCCATGTGTCAGATTGGTGAATTTAGGAAGAATAAACTGAGTCTGCCAAACTCAACTCTGCCCCTTTTCCCTTGGTAGTGTCTGGCCCACAGGGGGTAGAGGGGTCTTCTCTGCTTTTCCCGGCGCCCACAGCTCTAGTGGCTGGATGGGTAAATCCATCTGATTCAGAGCTTCAGTCTCCCCAGGCCCAAACCCATTTGCCCAGAGTCCTTAGCGGGATCCTGCACCCTGGCTTTTTCTCTGACAGATATGTATCTTGGTCCCCACCTGCTTAATCCTTTATCTTATTTCCCTATAGCCTCAAAGTGGTAATCAATAAGACCCCTCAAAGATACACATAAAATGGTGTACTGTGAATTTTTTCATTATGTCAAGAAGCCGGATAATACTTATATACTTTCAATAAAACAGCATGGACCAACTTAAAACATCAAGACTCCTTGATTTTTGGCTGGTTCTCTCATGCTGTGCATTAATGCTATGCATGACTCATAAATTCACTGGCAATAAGTTCTTTCAAAATATATTGCTCATGGGAGGAAAAGATATGAGGTCCATGGTGGCTGTGAGGTTGGGAACCACTGCTCTCAATCCCATTCCTGTCTTAATGGTCAGCAGAGATATTCAAGCCCGGGCCAGTCAGGAAACAGGGAGGCAAGGACATGAGCTACAGGCGTCCCCTTTCTTCCTCCTGTCCTTTTGTCCTTCCATATCGTCAAAGCCAAGCAGAGAGGCGCTACCAGATACAAGAGATCCTCCTGGCTGAGGTTTATGTGTTGGTTTGCTGGGGCTGCCAAAACACGAAGTACCCAGAACCAGGGGCTAAGCAACAGACATACACTGTCTCACAGTTCTGGCGGCCAAAGTCAGAGATCAAGGTGTCAGCAGAGCTGGTTCCTTCTGAGGGTCGTGAGGGAAGGATCTGTTCCCAGCCTCTGTCCGTGGCTTACAGACAGCTGTCTTCTCCCTGTCCATTCACATCATTTCCCCTCTATGCAGGTCTGTCTCTGTGCCCAAATTGCCTCTTTTCCTAGACAGCAGTCATTTTGGATCAGGGCCCCCCACTAAGGACCTCACTTTGATTACCTCTGTAAAGACCCTGTCACCAAATAAAGTCACATTCTGAGGTGCAGGGGATTAGGACTCTAACATAAGAATAATAGGGGGACACGGTTCAACCCCTTACAGTTGTCTAAACTAGAAACTACTGCTTCTGTTTGCACAGCTAAGCTCCGTGGTATCCTTTCACATGTGGCAAGTACTCAAATGTGTGCTGACCTGATCTAAATGGGGATTCACTTGGGCTCTGTGGATTGTGGGTAGGGAGAAAAGGACGTGTTTGGTGGGAACACCTCACACATCAGGAGGGAAAGACCTCCTTCCTCCCAGGCACTGGGTTAATCTATAGATCCCTCTTCAGGCCACCCCTTATCACTGCAGGCTGAGCATCTCCAATCAATGCGCCTTTTAATAATGATGCCCCTGCTTCCCCAGCTGCAAGACAGGCTGCAGCAACGTACAGTACAAGACACTGGATGGAGACTTTTAGGAAAAACATGGAGAAGAAAGGAATAAACGACCCCCGCAAATTCTGAATGTTTCTTTTCCTTTCGCTTTTCTTCCTGCTTTGGCTGCAGGGTGGCCTTCGTAGACCCTCAGGCTTTCCCCACGACTCGTGTGTGCCTGGTGAGGCCCGGCCACAATCCTGGGACGCTCCCAGCCGCGCTCTCCCTGCCAGCAGCAGTTCAGCCCTGCCTCGAGGTTTCCTTGTTCGCAGGCGGGCTTCTAGGAGGGTTTCCGCGCCCTGGGCGGTCCGGGCGCAGTCACTGCGGCGAAAGCCTTCAGGTAGTGGCTGTTTTCGGGCCGGCCCAGGCCTGCGGCAGGCAGACCCCAGAAGCAGCGGTGCCCCTGCCGGCTGAGTGGCCCCGCGCTCCTGCGACCCTCCTCCAGATCCTGGGCACCAGGCCCACCTTGATGCTCCCGGCAGAAGTAGAAGCCCAGGGGCTCTCCCTCATTTCCCGGGGAAAAGCTCGGCCCTAACCCACCCCTAAAAGGCTCCAAACACCCGCTGAGCAGTCCCGGCCGCCCAGCCCGCACGCCCGGCCTCGCAGCCCCCTTCCAGGTGAGCGTTTTTCCCCTCCCCCCTTCCCACACCCGGCTCCGAGCCTGCCCATGCTCTCGTGGGGGGCGCGGGGGTCCACCTTACGCCGGTGGTCGTAGTCGCGGTATTCTGGGGTCTGGGAGCCCCAGAGGGACGCCACTCTCCCACCCTCCCACCCCCTTTGACCCGTACGCCCCCTGACTCCCTGCGCCCCGCCCCGAACTCCGCACAGGCAGTGCCGCTCAAGCCCGCCCCAGCTCTTCTGTGCAGCCCCTCCCCCGGAGTCCTAACCCGAATCTGCAGCCCCACCTCCCCGGCCCTCCACACTCCGCGGGGCGGCCCCGGCCTGCAGCCCCGCCCCCAGAAGCCCTCGCCGGCAGTGTAACCCCGCCCCCAGCATGCTCCCGGGCAGTGTAGCCCCGCCCATCCCTTCTCCCTCTAAAGCCCTCCCCAGAGGTGCCCTATTCCCCCTCCCCCAGGCCCCTCCGGGATAGTGCGGCCAGGCCCCCAGGACCCCTTCCTTGCAGTGAAACCCGGCCCCCAGCACTCTCCCCGCAGTGTAGCCCCGTCCCATCTGCCCTCCCCGAGTCCCCTCCCAGGCAGTGTGACCCCGCCCTCAGCACCCTCCTAGGCAGTGTGATCCCGCCCCTATTCTCCCTCCTCACCCGACCCCCTCCCCGGACTGCAGCCCCGCCCCCAGCACCTCCCTGGCCCCTCCCCCGCAGTGTAGCGCAGCCCTCCATCCCCCCCCTACCTCCCGTCCCTGCTCTCCAGCCCGCCCCGCCCGCCCCGCCCGCCCCGCCCCGGGCCGCTCACCCTGCCCTGGCGGTAGTAGTAGCTGTACTCCTTGGGGTCCTGGCGCCGCGGCGGGACGTAGCTAAAGGCGGACTGCGCAGAGATGGGCGGCGGCCGGGGCTTGCCCCGCAGCGTGGCGGCGGTGATCTCCTCCTCCTCGTCCTCCATCCGGCCGCAGTGCTCGGTCCCGCCCCCCGAGGGGTCTGGTCCCAGTCCGCCCGCCGCAGGCTGCCCGGCGCCCGCGTTCGGCCGTTACCTGGAAACCGAGGGGGCGCAAAGCTAGGCTGGACTGCGGGGCGGGCTGGACTCCGACCCTCCCCCGCCCCCCGGCACCTCTGTGCACACCCGGGTCTTTCCTTCTTGGAGCGTCGGGAGAGCCTCACCGGCTAAAGCCGCTGCGGGGTTCCCGGGTGGGAGGCACCTCTGGGATCCGCACTTTCCACCCTGCTTACCCTTCTCCACGCAGTGTCGGTTCGTTCACTCAGAGACCGTTGTTCGCTGGGCAGTTAATGACCTTGCATCTACTGAGTGCCGGCGCTGGGGATGTAGCCTTGAACCAAGCAGCCCTTGTCCACCGGGATCTGACAGTCTGATGACGAAGACAAGTGATAGGTGTGAAAACGCAAGTAACTTGAAGAGGGTCTGGGACAGTGCTGCCCAGTAAGAAGATAGAGAGGGCCGTAATGTAAAACTTTCTGGCAACCTTGCTCTCATCCTCCCCTGGGCAGAGGTCCTCATAAAAGCACCAGCAAAGGGAAAAAAAAAAAAAACTCTTATAGTCTACTGCCACTTTCAACCTCTGCAGTCTCTTTTAAAGACCGGATATAGGAGCTCAGCTAATGGTCAGGAGTCTTCACAAGCCTTACACAGGTGATCTGATCTCACACTTTGCAAAATGGGTGCAGTCGACACCAATTATCATGAGACCTCAGTTACAAGTGAGACCGAAATCGTTTCATTGAAAAATCCTTTTCCACAGCTGTGTGGTCGTGCTTCTGTTAGCTTCGATTTCAATTTCAATTTGTTCTGCACCAGACTGACAGCTGCACAGGGCATGGTTGCACACATACACTCTCTCTGATGGCTCAAGTCTGGCACACAGTAGGTACTCAACAGATACTTGGTGACTCAGTAAGAAATACAGCTGCCATAATGGCTTGTGTACCTTCTAAGGGTGAGTCTGAGACAAGGGCTTGGATGCTCTTGCTTTATTTGGGAGGTAATTCCAAGGAGCAGGCGGGAGGGACCAGAGGAGTGAGTGCAGCAGGGAAGTCTGTATAAGGCTGAATTCTCAAGGTCACCCCTGAGGGCAGCTGGAGCTCGACCTTGCCCAAGACTTTCTGGGGAGCCTGGAGCAGCCTCTCAGAACCACCTGCAGTTCAACATGAAGGCGCTTTTTATTTCTTGTTCCCAGTCCTCCTGGGGTGAGACTGCCTTCTGGTTTGTTCACTTCTGACTTTGTAGGACCCCTGCCCAGTGCTGCCTAGGCTCCCTGTGGGTCTCCTCGGTGCCAGAGAAGCCCTGGGGCTGACAGTGACAGGCACAAGGCATCAACCTGAGGCAGCGTGCTGCTGTCAGGAGGTGGGTGCAGCCCCATGGAACGGCCACCACCCTGGGGGTGGATTCAGATGTAAGGCTGAGAGGCTGCCGGGCGGGAAGCAGAGGTGGAGGAAACAACAGGTAAGACCAACTTTGCCAGTTTCAATTATCAAGATTTTAGTTCCTTTATAAAATAACAGTTTTCCTCTATGATCCTATTATGTATTCTGGGGACATGAGTGGAATACAAGGTCAAAGAGTCTAATGTGTTTAAGTCCCTTGTGTCTGTGACTTGTACTTGCAAAGTTCTGCGTGGGGGGAGGGAAGGATAAAAGAATGAAAACCCTGCTGTTAAAATAAGTGGGTTAATAGTAGAAGAAGGCACGCTGAGTACAAGTTAACTCTGCAGGAGATCAGATCAGCTTTGTTTCACATATTCAGGTCTACAGTCCTCCGCTCTACCAGCTGAGCTATCGAAGGGTGCACAGCTGAGCTTTGTTTCAAATGCCAACCTCAGTAGTCTGGGATGTCTACCCCCCTAATCCCATGCCAGCCTCATGGATATACACCGGCGCCCGCAGCTGACGCTGGGTGATGACATTGCACTGGTCTGGCTTAGGTTGACATGGGCGTACTGACCGCTTACTGTTCATGCAGCCTGCTCTGCAGGTCCACCGGGGCCTCGGCTGCCTGCAGCTCCCCGCTGGATGACACACTGGAGGGCGGCCTCCACTGCAGAAACTCAGGCAGTTCATGGGAGCATTGGAGGCGCCTAGTCCAAACTGCAGCTGGGACTTGTCCCGTTTCTCTTGACATCTGGGCAGAATGTAAGCAGGGGGAGACCTGGTAGGAAGAAGTTCTGTTAATTTGAGGCAGGGAAGGAGAAAGCTATTGCTGTGTGACATTAGCATGTCACATGTCACATTAGCGGTGGTTTCAGCACATCTTGGGCGGTGTGTGTGTTATATTTATCATGAGTCCTCATGAGCCCACAGACTTGTTAAGTTCAGAAGAACCCTCTGGTTCTTTATGCTGATGAGAAAACTGAGATGTAGGTAGGATAAGTGATGATGCAGGTGACAGGGCAGTGGGTGCCCCTCCTGAAAGGTGTATGGAATATCTGGAAAGGGGGGGGCTGGTCTGAGGGAATGGTTTTCTCCTTTGGAGCCCTCAGACCATTCAGAGATGGGGCCACAGCCTGGACAAAGCACAAAGCTTTAGCCTGCGATTCTCAGCCAGCGCACTGACACAGCCGAGGAACAAAGTGTCCAGATGGCCTCCTCTCCACCTTGTACACCTTTGTTAACTGAGGTGGAGAGGGGGGAAAATCACCTATGAATACATGAAAATGCCATCATCTTTCTAAAACATCTGTTGAAAATGCAGAAATTTTAAAACAAGGTTGATATCTCCATTTTAAGTTTGAAAGCTTTTACAATCATGTTATTTGTAAATGTCACTGTAAACTCATTTAAGTGGCCCAACATAATTGGACTTTAATTCACAGGCTTTAAAACGGCTTAACATCCCTTGGATTAAGTACTCCTCTGCTTTTATGATGGTTCAGAGTTAAGAGGGGTGGATGGACAAACACATATATCCGTCACCGGCGAGGAGAACTGCACCGGCGAGGAGAACAGCAAACCTAAAGGTCATTATGAACTCAAGGGGTATGAAAGGGTGCTCCTGCTGCACCTTTTCCGGATCCCCCATCAGTGTTGTTTGACAGTGAGAGTAACTGCATCACCCTGGCTCCTGCGACAGGGGAGCCACTGGCCGTCCTCCAAAGCATCTCCACAGGCTCTGGGGCACAGGCAGTGGTCCGTGATGAGGTAACACGCCTTTACCTCACTCGACACCTCCTCCCTGGTAACGAGGCGTGAGTACTGCTGGTAGACTTAGAAAGCATGTTTGTCATCAGGTTTTTCCTGTAGGCTGCGTCACTCACTTGATGGAGTCCCTTGAAGTCACATTAAGCATCAAACTTATGAATCAAGACATATAAGTGCAAATTTAATTTTGGCTAGTTCACCTTGTCGATTTTGAAATCAAAATGAATGTGATTTTATAGATGCCCCCAATGAAAAACCCCCGATACCGACGGCTCTAGCAGTGAGCAAGACCACGTGCCAGAACCAGAGCTCCTTACAGAGGCTGGACCCCAGGGCTGAGACAGGAAATGGTAAGTGAGCCTGGGACATCCTCTTCTGCCGAGAAATTTTCAAAATCGAATGTGTCAAGGTCAAAAGGACAAAGAGGCCATCCTGAAGGGTATCCCACCGATCTAAAACAGGACAAGTTATGCATCCAAAAGATGACTGTCATGGGCTGAAGCACATCAAGTATATAAAATGTCATGAATTCATAAATATCCTAAACAAACAAAATACTGACCAGATAACCACCTCTGTATTCTAAACCTTGATACAAGGAAAGACACATTTATCTCATTTTCTTTTTCTGTATAAACCTTATTTTATTTTTATTGGAGTATAGTTAAGATGTTGTGTTAGTTTCTGCTGTACAGCAAAATGAATCAGTTATACATATACATATCCACTCTTTTTTAGATTCTTTTCCCATGTAGGTCATTACAGAGTATTGAGTAGAGCTCCCTGTGCTATACAGTAGGTTCTTATTAGTTATCTATTTTATATATAGTAGTGTGCGTGTGTCAATCCCAATCTCCCAATTTATCCCTCCCCCGCCTTTTCCCCTGGGTAACCACAAGTTTGTGTATAAACCTTATTTTAGAATTCAAAAATAGTTGATGGGAGAAATTTCTTCTTTATAGATGAATACAAGTAAAGGAATAAAATAAAAGGATAAAAAAATAATAAAAGTAAAGGAATGATAGCGTTAGGAAATCCTTTTTTTTTAAACACCTGTTGGAATAATGAATCTAGGCAACAGTCATCAACAGATGCTGAAGCCATTAGGTGACAGGTTGACGGGGACTATATGGTGGATGGATCAGGCTGGTGGTGATCCAGGAACCCACTATCAGTCTTAATGAGTATCACTGAGAGGGTAACGAGACATTACGATATGATGTAAAACAAATACACAGCATCTCCTCTGAAGCATCCTTGCTGAAAAAATTAAGCTGAATCTAAGCAAGCCTCTGGATGTAACTTTTAGTTTAACAGGAAATATAGCAAAGGAACCAGTTAGAAAATGTCAAATCAATACTGTGGGATATTTTACAAGGCAATTGATCTAACTTCTCCAATAAATTAATAACATGGAAACCAGGTGAGGGAGGGGGGCAGTTACAGACATGAGACTTAAGACTTAGGGGTATAACATCTAAAAGTAGTATGTGGCCTTTGTTCAGATCCTGCTTCAAACAAATCAACAGTTAAAAAATATTTCTGAGAGAAAGACATATACCATATGATACCACATATGTGGAATCTAAAATATTGCACAAATGAATCCATCTATGAAACAGGAACAGACTCACAGACGTAGAGAACAGACTTGTGGTTGCCAAGGGGGAGTCTGGGGTTAGTAGATGCAAACTATTGCATATAGAGTGGATAAACAACAAGGTCCTACTGTATAGCATAGGGAACTATATTCAATATCCTGGGATAAACCATAATGGAAAAGAATATAAAAAAGAATGTATATATAACTGAGTCACTTGGCTGTACTGAAGAAATTAACACAACATTGTAAATCAACTATACTTCAATAAAAAAAATTAAAAAAATATTCCTGAGACAGTATAGAAAACCTGGAATATAGACCAGGTATTAAATGATCACAGGTAATAATTATTAGTTTTGGGCTTCCCTGGTGGCGCAGTGGTTGAGAGTCCGCCTGCCGATGCAGGGGACACGGGTTCGTGCCCCGGTCGGGGAAGATCCCACATGCCGCAGAGCGGCTAGGCCCGTGAGCCATGGCCGCTGAGCCTGCGCGTCTGGAGCCTGTGCTCCACAACGGGAGAGGCCACAACAGTGAGAGGCCCGTGTACCGCAAAAAAAAAAAAAATAAAAATAAAAATTATTAGTTTTGTTCATTGTAATAATGGCAGAATAGTTAAATAAAAAATAAAAAAGTTTTTTGGTTATGGATTCATACTGAAGTATTTAGGATAAAAGTATATGATAGCTTGGATTTTTAAAGAAACATTCCAATAAAAAAGGAAAAGAAAAAAAAGAATATGGGAGTAAATAGATGAAACAGAATTGGAAAATTTGGGTATTTTTGCCATGCTGAATAAAGGGACTCATGTGAATTCATTATACTATTCTTTCTACACTTATGTGTGTTCAGTGTTTTCCATAATAAAATTTACAGAATTACTGAGATATTGTTTATTGCAAACATTAGAACCCAGAATATCAGTTCAAGACACAAATAGTGTGCCCTATATACCAGAGACTGTGGGAAGAGATGGGGACAGAGATGTTTAGATTTTTTCTGAGATGGGATTTCAAGTATATTAAGGCAAAATTTCTTATGATGGAGCCAACAGCCAAAGAACACCAACAAAAGGTAAGGCTTATTGACTACACAGGCAAGGGAGCCGGCACACCAGAGGAACCAGGCAGAGGGATGACAGGATGGGTAGAGGATTTGGGTGAAATTGAACGAAGCTGGGTTGGAGATGCAGAGAGCAAGCTTGTGTATAAGAGAACTAACATGAGGCCTGGCCTGAGAAGACGACCCAGGATGCTCAAAGATAAGAAAAAGGTAAGGGGGTTTGTGTCCCAAACCCTCTATCTGAAGCTCTTCATCGTCTTGGAAATCAAGGCGGCTCAGATCCTGCAGGCAATAGAGGTGTGTTCCATTTTTATTACAGTAAAGGTTTTACAGAATGAGGTTTCTCAGCAGGGTGTCTGTGATGCTAATTAGCAAAAGGAGTGGCCGCTGGTTTAAGCTGCTGCCCCAGGAGTCTTAACCGTCCAGGCAATGGTGCTCCTCCTTATAGAGCATCCCTGATGGGCTCCCTCTCCACAAGCTGTAACAATGAAGTCTGACTGCAACGTAACTCTTGTACCAATGACAACAAGAGCCCTCATGGCTCGCTGAGCACTTACTGTTTTCCAGGTACTGGCCATACAGCTGACAAGGCATGACTTATTTCATGATCCTGAAACGGAGCAGGACCCTAAGAGGACTTTCAGGGACAGTCCCCTCCCCCATGTCCTCTGCTGCAGTTCCTCTCTGAAGTACCCAGATAATAGATAATGGTATCTGATGCACATTTCCTGAGTTGTTTTACAGATGCTAAAACCACCACTAAATGGAAGAAATTAACTACCTGATGACCATGAGAAGTAGCCCCCAGACCTAACTGGCACCTGAGGACTGACAACATTAACCCCGACACACCACCCTGTTACCTCACCATCAACCAATCAGAGAATTGTGCACTAGCTGATCACAGATCCTGGGACACCCCCTCCCTCACTTGGCCTTTAAAAATGCTTTGCTGACGCCCATCGGGGGGTTCAGGCTTTCTGAGCACCAGCTGCCTGGTGCCTGCCATAGATGCTGCACTTTCCTTCACCACAGCCCCGTGTCAGGAGATTGGCTTTGCTGCACGTGGGTGGGCAGACCCAAGTTTGGTTTGGTAACAATCCGACACTATGTATTTAGACTCCAGGTGGGTCTGGATATGTTTCCAGTTTGGGGAAATCTCAGCTTTTGGAGGCTTATTCACCACCATGGTGCCAAGACCCCCCTCCCTGAATTTGTGTACAAATTCAGGGAAGGGTCCAGCTTTTTTAGAGGGAACTGACTTTTTACCCCCCAGAATTCTATCAAATATGCTCAGTTCTGCTCCTTCCTATTCTTTCTTCTACCTAATGAATATTTACCAAGTCTCCAAATGCACCCAGGTGTACAGAGTCAGCAGGTAGAATCCTGGTCAAAGAACCAACCAGCATCTCTTCATCCCAAGATACCATCTACCCTCCCTGTCTAGGCTTGGTTCAGCCAAACAGCCTTCCTTCTTTAGGTCAAGGTATGGAAAATTGCCTGTTTTGTTCGGGCAGAACTGTCACCGCACCATTCCACAGCTCCAGCCTGCCGCCCCCCTCCCTTCCCCCCACCAACAGGCGCGCAGGATACACTCACTCTCTCCTCCTGGGACCAGGGATCATCTCGATTCCACTGCTGAAGCCCAATAGATGTCCTCACCTTTGCTGCCCTCTCGCGGCTGGTCTGAAGATGATCACTGTTGCTTCAGGGGTTATGCTCGCAAGTTAAATTTTTTTCACCTATTTTTCTTTCTTTGCTTTACTTTTTTTCCCTTGCTTTGCTTTTACTTTTAAAAAACAACATCAAGAGTATGTCTTATTTAAAAACATTATTAATATATGGTACTAGGAGTTATCATACTGTATATGTAATTTCAACAAGGAAATTCACGTCATATTTACTTACATAGGTAGACATTAAAATATTAGTGGCCTGAGGATTCAGTTTATAAGGACATATGGCTTTATAATCTTACGGAGCTTGCCAAATTTACTCCAATTGGTGAAATCAGCACTCTTGTATCTGTTTATTAGCCTAAACTATTTTCATAGCATATCCATGCACATTTTCAGGATTAAAATTTGCTTTAAAACAAAGTCAGTTCTGGCCTCACTCTCCATGGTGACCGTCTGCTTTGTGCTGGGTGCTCTGGCCATGGAGATGCCTGAAATGCTCTCCCACCAGAGACCTGCCTCCCTTTCTTTGAATTCAGCTCACAGATCACTCCAAGAAGCCTCCTCCTGCACCCCAGGCTGGCCTGACGTCTTCTGCCTTCCAGGGTCCTGCTCATGCATCAGGACCGCCAGCTGGCCCATCACTATAATCACCCATAGCCCCTCCAGGCAGGAGCTCTTTTCTGCTTCCCTCTGCAGCTCTAACAGTCAGTGGGTACCCAGCATGATCACAGCTCTTTAATAAATGTTGAATGAATGAATGAATGAATGAAGAGGGTAAGGGAGAGCTAAATGAGACAAAGGCTCAGGAGAGGATGTAACTGAAAGTGCAGAAGAAGGAGCATCTCATTCCAATTAGGGCAACCAGGAACAAAAGTCCCGATGGAGAAGGATTTAGATAAATGGAAAAGGCGGAGGAAGAAGGTTTTAGGCTATACTGTTTTTTTCATAGCATTTGTAACAGACTGCTCTTACCTCTTTGTGTGGCTATTTAAGTCTATGTAATCAAGTCTCCATAAAAACCCAAAAGAACCAGATTCAGGGCTTCCAGGTTGGTGAACAGGTGGAGTTTAGGGGAGAGTGCTGCCTGGAGAGGGCAAGGAAACCCCACACCCTTCCCCATACCTGCCCCTAAGAGTGTCTTTCATCTGGCTTTCCTGAGTTATATCCTTTTGTAATAAACTAGTAATCTGGTAGGTAAAATGTTTCTCTGAGTGAGTTCCATGAGCTGCTCTAACAAATTAATGGAGCCCAACGAGGGGGTCACTGGACCCCCCAATCTATAGCCGGGTTGGTCAGAAGCACAGGCCATGTGACAACCTGGACTTGTGACTGGCATCTGAAAGGAAGGTGGTGGGAAGCGGGCAGACTTGTGGGACTGAGCCCTCAACGTGTGGGAGCTGGTGCTGCCTCCAGGTAGATGGTGTCAGAATGGAGCTGAATTGCAGACCCCCAGCTGGTGTTGGAGCACTGCTGAGTGCTGTGTGGGACACCCACACCCCGCCCCCTTGGCCAATGCGTACACTGTAGTTTGGTGCAGAACCCTTTTATCCGGAAACTTTAACTTGACCATAATGGGACAATGAAGCATCTGCAATGAACTAAAGAATTTTAATCCATGCTTAATTTAAAATTTAGAAGTTTCTCCCTCCAAACACCCCGCCAAAACCCTACTTAAGTTGTTTTTACATCTTTATTCCTTTATTTAAAAAATTATAATATATACGTGTATGTGTATGTGTGTATATATATATACATATATATATATATAAAGCTCCTATACCGATACAAAATATTATTAACTAAAGGGTTATTTTTGCATTAAGTCTACAGTTATAAATGTTTACATCCAAAGTACTAGTCTATTTTTCATTGCTCCTTTTCCTTACCATATATTATTTCCTCTAACAAAATACAAAAGAAAAAACTAGCAGATAAAATTTCTTCCTTATATTTGTTAGAAGAAACAAAGGTCTCTCAAGAATATATTTTCAGTTAGCAATAACTGTCACAAAACACAAGACTTAAAATTATGACACTTACTCATTACATTCCTTTATTGTACTTGATCAATTCTGTTTGATGTATAAAAGTATCTGATACCAGTATTAAATGAAGGTTAAAATTAATTTTAAATTTGCTACTGATAAGCGTATACATGGTATAAGGAAACTAGAGACCCCTTTCAGATCACCAAAGTACATAAATAAACGGCTAATTTGCAAGTTCTTTCACTATTTGGGTTCTGAAGTCAGTATTCCTTCTTGTTACCAGTGACCACCAGAGTTTTGAGAAAACAGTTTTCTTTGTAAATATTCCACTAATTCAAGTCTTGACTTTAGCATCTCAATCTCGTAATAGGGAATCTGTAAAGAGAGGAAAATAAATCCATCCTCATCCTTCATAATCTGAAATAACCTTGGGTTTGGTTACCCTTTCCGCCTACCACACCCTCCCCACAGCAGCGTGTAGGCTCCCAGCAGGCAGAGATCCCAGCGGTGCCTGTGACGGTGCTGCCAGGTAGCAGGGGCTCAACAACAGGTAGAATGTCTAAATAAGAATCAGACATAATCCCTGCCCTCAAGGAACTTACAAGTTAGGTGCTAACTTAAAATATACAAAAAGTAGGCAGTAATACTAAGCAGAACATGCAAAACAAATTGGTGCTGTAGTGCTGAGAGGGAGTCGACACTTCAGATTAGGGTGAAAGGTCAACCTGAGCTGGGAGTTGATGAACAGCCAGAATTTAGACACTCAGAGAGGTGGGGACCACCTGACTCGCATCAGCCAGGGAGAAAGGCCAGACAGAAGAGACCACTGAGCTGGGAGCAGAGGGCCTGGCTGCGGGCAGACCTCGAAGGGTCTAGAATGTTGAGATGTAGATGTAGTCTTTATCCCATAAGCAGTAAAGAAACAATGAAGGTTTCTAGGCACACACTGGCACGATTCACTTTAGGAAAATTAATCTGGGTATGTACAAGACGGAAAGGAAAAAAGTAACCAGACAGGAAAGCAGAGAGGAGATTGGTAGACAGCTTAGAGAATGGAAAGCTCCATGGACATTCATCACGACTCTTCACCTAAGACCTTGCTAAGTGATCTATGATGTAAATACAAACAAGAGTCTTAAACATTAAAAACCAATGAAGATCCTGCTTTTGATGGGTCATCTTGTACATTCTCGTCATTAAATCAAAGGGAAATTAAAACAAAACAGATATTCCAATAATTTAGTAATTCTAAAAGCAAAGTAAAGCACAGCTCATACAGAATTTAGGTATGTCTCACTTTTGGAAAAGAGAAAATTTGAAATTCGTGATTTCAAATTACAAATCAAGAGACTTAAGCCTAATGAACAAAGCTGGCATTTAAATCAGACTTAAGAGGCTTGGTCCACTGGGCTGGCATACTACTTAGTATCCTGGAAAAAGCAAATCTGAACTAGAAATGGCTTTTAGGAAAAAAAAAAAAAAGGCAAAACCATACCTGGACAACTTGATAACCAAGTAAGTACAGATGTCTTTGTTTAGTAGCTTCCTTTCCCAGTAACTGTTTGCTATTCAAACAAAATCTTTTTGGACCATCAATGCACAGTGCTACCCTAAAAAACCAAAGAGGAGAGGGAAACTTAATTTTTAAAACAATCCGAAGTATTTATATGGTTTTAGCTGCCAGAGTTTATTTGGGATTTGGCTATTCCTTCGTGCCAATACTATTTTCAAATGAATCATGACTGTTATCCATTAATCTGTTGAAAAAGCACTCAACTTAATTAAATTAAGGTTCACAAGATACTACATGGAATTTCCAAAACTGGTATGCCATAGTGTTTTAATTTTCAGAAGCATGTCTACTTTAAGAAAACAATCCCTGTGTATTAACCTCAACAAGTTTTATAACATATAAACCAGAACAGTTTTCTTTACCTTTTATGTATATCTTCATCAACTGTAAATGGTAATACAAATCCATCTTCATCTAATTTAATTTCAACATCTGGTAAGAGAAGAAAGGAAAAATTCTTCGTGTGATACCCTCACAAACACTAGCTTCCTTTTCTCCTTGTTGTTTTGATTTCTTCCATACTGCATTTATCAACTGGGCAGAAGGCTGCAAAGTAATGACCACACCAGACAATGGTGAGAATTTTAATTTAATCAGAGCTTTGCCCAACCAAGTCAGCTTTAAACTAAGAGGGCCTTCACTGCACTAAAACAAGGAGGGGGCCCTCAAGGTATCTGGGGCATGATGTGAATCACACACACTTTTACTCTCCTTATAACAACTGGTGGGAATAGTGAAGAAAATCCTTTGAGTAAAGTCAGACACCTGCGCAACTGGCACCTTGCATCCCTGGAGCTCCAGTGCCCAGGGAAGGTGAAGCAGCCGGCAGCCCAACTCGTGGGCCCTGGGCGCTGGCAGGCTCCCCCTTCCTTCCTTGTCAAAGGAGCCCATAAAGGAGGGGAGTGAGATGTGACCACCTGAAGCCTAGAAACGCTGTCCTCCCTGAGCTCACTGTCCTTTACTCATCAATTTGAAAGGAGAAGGACTTTGTAGTCAGCGCTGTCCGCGATGATGCAGACGCTTATACCTGCTACTGAGCACTTCAAGTGCAGCTAGTGCAACTGGGGACCTGAACTGTGAATTTTCAGAATTGGAATTAATTTAAATTTAAGTAGCTACTGGTATGTGTGGCTATTACATTGGACAGCACTGGCCAAGAGGATGAGAGCAGCTAACAATTACTGAGCACTTACTGTCTCCCAGGTATTAGTCTGAGTTACCTCATTTTGTCCTTAAACAAGTCTTTGAGGTCACTACTCCTCTTACTCTCATCTTGCAGATGAGAACAAGCAAATGAATGCCCCGAAAGGATGCCCAAAGGCATTCAGCTACTATGTGGCTAACATGGAGTCCTGACTTTTCAGCCCTACCGTCCACCCCTGTTCCAATTTGCCTTCAGGGAAGGGCCAACTTCATTTTGTTTCCAGACCTTTGGTGGCTACTAAGCCCCACGGGTTCCATCAGAGGACAGCACACTGAGGTTTAGTTAACAACAACAAAACTTCCTACTACTTACCTATCGTGTAACAATAGGGTGTTAACACTTTTGAAGCAAAATACAGTCTTGCTCCTAAAAGGTCAATCAGTCCAATCATCACAGATTTATATAGCTGAAAATCCATGGGGGTCTCCAGGGAAGAGCATGGAGTAAGAAATGATTTCACTTGATATTTAGGAAGAAGTTTTGGACCCTAAAAATGTATGTGCAAACATGAGAAAGAAAAATAAGATACAAAATCAGAGAATAAAATGAAGGTTGCCTGAGTATAAAAGTCTGATCCAATATTATTTTATAGGCATGATGCTCCTCCAGGACTTAGGACAAATACCTTTCTCAAAATGACAACGCCAAATATTCTTGTTATAGTTCAAGCCCAATAGTCCAAAATATCTTTTAAATGTGTTTAAATGTAGCCAATGGTCACTGAAAGAAAGATAGATAGAAAGAAAGAAAGAAAGAAAAAGAAAGAAAGAAAGAAAGAAAGAAGGAAGGAAAGAAAGCTCAAGAAACATCTTTGGAACTCTCAGAATTGCTTTAAGGGCCTTGAGGAAACACAGCTGAAGTTTTTAATAGTGGAAATTGTGATAAAGCTGACATTTCAATTTAGAAAGAAAAGGACAGCTATGTAATAATGGTGCTAGCAATTGGTTATCCATCTGGAAAAGGACTAAGAGTTCTGCCCCACATTACAGACTATAATCTATTTCAAGTAGATTAAAGATCTAAATATAGTATGGAAAACAATATTTTTTAAATTTAGTAAAATATTTATATTACCTTAGGAGTCATAAAATATTCCTAAACAATACCCAGCAGCCATAAAAAATGAATAATTTGGCTACAGAAAACTTAAAAATTTCTGTATAGCAAAAAGGCATCATAAACAACATTAAATTAAAACTAAAAAAATTTTAAACCACAAACCAGGAAGAAATGTGTACAACGTACTTAACAGTTAATATGTTTTACAATGTGTTCTAGGACAAAAAACAAATACAAAAGAGAAAGACAAACAACCCTATACAAACAGAAATTAAGGTGTAACAAGGCAATTCATAGCAAATGTAAGTGACCAGTAAACGTGAAAATATGCTCAACTTCATTATCGCTCGTTACAGTGCAACTGAAGCATGTGACTTGACATTTCACTGAGTCAAATGACAAAATTAAAGGGACTAAGAACACACCGCAACACAAATGGGCACACGTGGTCACCTTCATTCACTGCTGGTGAAATATGGCATCTACAACTATACGGGAAAAAGAAAATGTCAGTCTATTGAAAATTAATCCAGTAATCCCACATTCAGGAATCTAGTCTTTAGATTAAAACAACAAAAAGGTTCCAGTATGACAGGATATGTAAGTATGTTTATGACAGCATGGCTGATGAAGACAAGCGTTTGAAAAAGCCTGAAAATCCATCAATGGTGGGACGGTAGAATAAATACCGTGAAATATCATTCTTTAAAGGTATAGATTTGATCTTTACCTGTTACCCCCGAAGAATGTCCATGATATACTGGGAATAAAAGCAAACTGTAGTTTGAATAGTCCCATTCCATGAAAAGAGAGAAACTAGATGGTGTTTATGAGCTACTCATAAACATGGTTCAGTCAAGTACGGAGAACAGGCAGGAATGAGCAAGCTGGAGGTACCATTTCTGATCCTAAACAACGTGCCTGATTAAGTTAGGAGAACAAATCCTTAGAAAGCTTTATACAAAGCTCGAACTCCATGCAAACTGAATTCTATCACGTCAGAGTGAAACTTCTGCTTGGTTTAAGAACATACTCAGTAATGGTTCAGGATCTGTTCAGCGCATAAATTCACACCTCTATATCCAACAGCCATGGCGAATGCTAAAACCCTTTAAAATCCCTAGAGAAAGTCTAAGAGCACTAAGACTCATAAGCCTGCCATACTTGATAAAACCTTCTAAGAATCTTACACCGTAGGAAGTGGGTCTTTCAAGGACAAGAACACAGGAATAGGGTCAATTTATTAGAGAAAAGGCTATCTGGTGGCAACTACTCCAAGTGAATGAAAATTCTGCTTTCTAATGAGGTTACTGAGACAGCTCAAAAGAGAAGGAACTTAAAAGATTCGGGAGCGGGGGAGGTGCTGGAGAGGAAGGAGGAGGCAAAAGAATACCATCCCTGTAGGGAAATAAAGCAATGCAGCTCATGCTTTTACCTTATAGAACGGGCATTCTAGAATCGCGGTTAAGAAAAGCTGGGTCAGTTGTGCTAGGCTCAGTCTGTCCAAATAGGACTCTTCACCTGAAATAAAAAGCATCCCAGTCATAGTTAAGCTTGAACTTTGGTGTGTGTGATAAGAGAAAAGAATATCCAGAATGCACATTAATTAATTCACTCCAGTAAGGTACTTTTAAATGACACTAGGAAAAGAACTTGTTAGAATTAATTATACCTTCTTGCCTCCCATCTCAATGAAATCTCATTTTGGCTTCCAAGAACGCATGATCCTAACTAGAGAATATAATTAAAAGTGACAAATGTATGTTAGTAGAATTTGTAGGAATTTCCTTTACCTATGGAGATCTAGATTCCGGCATATTTGGGTGGCTTTGAATTAAGATGAACATCTTCTCAAAAAAAAAGTTGTTCTCATCAAAGACGCTAACATGTAATTGTGACACTGCCACAGCCATCACCAGATCCCTGCAAGAAGACTCAGTTTCTCAGCTAGGGCAGCAGAGTCTGTTTACCCGAAACTGTTTTCTCTCTCCATGCAATGTTCTAGCATTCTTTAATTCTGTGTTTATATTAGCATCTGCAGCTTCAGATTTCTTCGTTAGATCATTATGGAAGAAAAAATAAAGGCAAAGAAAGCACTGCTCAATAAAAAAGGTACATATGTGACTGGAAAACATCACAAGCTCAAACACTAAGTTTTCGACTTTCAGAAGTAATAACCAACTCACCTTGCAGCTGCTGAAGAAAATACGGGCTGAATATTTTGGCCATAAAGTTGACTGGATGGCATTCAATAAGTGAACATGAATGGAGAAGTTTCAATAGTGTTTTGGGTGGAAAATAATTGAAACGAGTTAACAGTATGTTTTCTAGCTTCCTAAATAAAGCAGAGGCATTTGGTGGCAAATAATTGAGTTTTCCAAATGGTTCAATTAACTCAGCAGTTTGATTAGGTGAAAATTTTTCTGACTGACAAACAAAAGTTTCTGCCACTGCATTGAGGATGGGTTTTGAAAAAATCAGCTTTCTACTGCAATACTCCATGACTTTGCTGACAACCTCGGGATCCAGAGTGAGACAGAGGGAAGCGACATGTTGCTCTAGGGCTTCTGTAAAAAATCTGTCATTGTACCCAAAGTAGATGAATGCCTCTAAGACTTCTTTGAGCTCTTCATTAGTGAAATGGGGGATATGCCTCACAACGTATTTACCCAATTTTATAACCAGCGTAAGTGCCTGAGTTTGATCAAGGACCACCAGGGCGGTGAGCATTTGGCTCAGCAACTTAGGACTCAGGTTGGGAACTACTGACAGAGAAAAGTTATTTATCTTATGTAAAAACGTCTGGTGTTGGTCAACTTTTTCAGGACATGCCTGCAGTATTCTGTAAAGGGTCACAATATCCTCGGGGGTAAATTCTTCCAAATTTTCACCTTGCAGTTGATATATAATCAGGTCTAGTGTCGAACAACCTGGACCTTGCAGTTTAATCAGACATTCCCCCAGGATACAAAGACTGTGAATGTCCAGGCTACCCATTTCGAGACGATGCTGGCACTCTGCCAGGAGGCTTAGCAGCAAGCGACTTTGGGGATCCACATACAGGGTCAGGGCTTGCAAGGCAGTCACCAAACCCGTGTTTGACAGATTTGAGGGGTCCTGTGCAAACTGATTACACAAAGCTTGAAAGGCGCTATTCTCCAGTATTTCTTTTGGCAACCTTTGATCATCATCTTTTTTTTCCATTTCACAAATCCGATGTAAGGCTCCTGCTGCCATAGTATCAGGCAAAGTCTGCAGTGTGCTTATATAATGTAAGACTTCTTCCGATGAAGTGAAGCTGTTCAGTCTCCTGTAAAATATCTGTTCATCCACATTTTTAACACTGTGTTCAGACCTGTCCCAAGCGTGTGCTTGAGAGAACACTGGCTCGCCAACTGGATGAGGGTCATTTCCGTTTTCTGAATGGAACTTTTTAGAATGGGCATGATGGAACCTGACCCTAACAGGCTCAAGTTGCAGTGACCAGAACCATGGACACAGATGCTCCTTGACTGTCTTGTGAACACAATTTACACGTTGAGTTTTCAGGCCAGCCAGAGTTCCATGTATCCGAAAATCAGATAAATGACAAAGGTTCCTCCGCAAGGTAATTAAAGCCATGCCACCAGACTCTAAACTCCTCTTGATTTATAACTATGTTAAAAGAATAAAAATAACACGGTCAAATATACTAGAACACAGTTTATTCAACATCAATGCTTATGGAACTAAGGATGAGTACCCCAAAACGAATGATTCCCACTAAACATTTCCCACTCAAACAGAAGTACCAGAAGAGCAGCATCTCTGCACCCTAGAGCTTAGAACAGCGGCTGGATCTCGTAATAATCGCTCTCATTTGCCAGGCAATGCTGTACTTAATTCTCCCAACAACACAACGAATTAAATACTTCGATGTCATTTTAGAAACGAGGGAACTGAAGTACAAAGATGTCACGTGGTCCAGTTTACACAGCTATTAAGGGGCAGAGCTAGGCTTCAACTCAGGTAGTCTGGAGCCTAAGTACGCCTCCTATGTGTTGGTTGATGGGAGGAATTGCGTTTCGTTCAACTTCCCCAAAAGAGGCAACGGGTAAAGTGGCCATTAATTCGGATGGGTCAAAGCAAGGGTGAAGAAAGCGCTTAAAGGGCCTTGAGGTGTTGGTTTCCCCTCAGTTAGGATCTTGTTCCAGGACTGAGGAACAAGAAGGTATAGCTTGGCAGATGGGAAGAAAGAAATGTCAGTAGAATAAAAAAAAGACGCTGGTCAACGACGGGGTAAGGTGGGTGGCGCGCCCACACCTGAACACCCCCGCTGTGGAACCTGGGAACACGAGTGCGCGGGACGGGAATGACGGGGGACCCCGGGGACCGCGTCCTCCCTGGAGGGAAAGGACCCCACGGGCCGGGAGCTCCCCTAAACCGCCGGGAGCGGCGCCCGAAGAGCGGGGCGAGCCAGGGAGCGCGGGCGCCTTAGCGAAGCCGCGGGCCACGCACGCCGGGCCGGAACAACCGAGCCCAAACCCGGCGTGGACACCTACCTGACTCGGCTCGCTGGGGGACCCAGCAAACCCTGAACGCACAGCAGCCTCTTGGAGCCCCGTACGCGCACGCCACACTGGCGCCCAGCGCTTCGGCGCCTGCGCCTGGAGAAGAGCCGCCCCACGTCCGGCGCGCCGTGATTGGCCCAGCTCCTTTCCCGAGCTTCCTATTGGTCTCGGGCGCCGACTGTGTGCGCAGGCGCGGGAGCAGGGGTCGTGGTACCTGCGCTTTCCCCAGCGTACCCGCCGGACCCCCGCAGGTGAGGGCACGGGGGCGGCAGTTTCCAGATGTGGGCACCCGCCCAGCACGGGACTGAGGGTGGGCGGCTCGGGGTCGGCGAGGGCACCGGCTTCCGCGTCCCTCCCCCAGCCGGGCTGGGCGCTTGCGGGTCGGTCAGGACCCCGGCCCCTCGGGGTTGCGGGCGGCGCGCGCGGAGGGCGGGCTACGCCGGGGACTCGGCCTTGAGGCCTCCCCGCTGCCTCTGGGAGCGGGTCCCCGGCGGCGCCGCGGCGTTTGCACAGCGGAGCCGGTCCCGCAGGTCCCTGTGGGCCCTTCCTCCGTCGGCACTTTTCTAGACGGGGTCAAGGGCACATTCGGGAGCAGGGTCAGGCGAGAGCGTCCGGACGGGGCGCCGGAGGGTCAGGAATGTTGGGAGCGCGGACCCGGCCGGACGCAGGCTCATGCTCCGCTGTTTCTCCGCCGGACCTTGCCCTGCGGGTGCCGGCGAACCGCCCCCGAGAAATGTGGGGTGCAGTAGAGGCTCTACGAGGTCGTTGTGGGGCTGAGGGGCTCATTCTCTGAAGCTCCTAGGATCGTGCGTGGCTCCTGGGAAGTGCTCCGGGTCCTTAGTTATGATAATAAGCGGTGCCGTTTCCATCAACCGTTGTTTTCGTCGGGTGGCTGTGGTCATCGTCCCCGCTCTGAAGGTGCGGGAGCTGAGCCACCGGTCAGTTGAGAAGCTGGCCTAAAGTTCTGCTCTTGTGAGTGATCCCTCGTGGCTGGATTCAAGCCCCAGTACTCTGGCCCCAGAGTGTGATTTGTGTGCCGCGGAATTCGAGCTTCATACCTTGTATCCTCCTTGGTTTAATGAATTCTCTCTCTTCAACCTTTAGAATTAATGCTAACAAACAAACTTAGGAGTATATTTCGTATTATCTGTGGATATTGTTGCAGTTATTTTAAATTAAGAGAATTCATACCTGCAGGTTGATTACTACTTCATTAAAAAGGAAATCCCTTTTTCCCTTTTCTATTTGTCAGTGTAACTGTCACAGCTGTAGCAGATGCTTTGAAGTGATGAGGTTTTTGTTACTCTATGCTACACAGAGAGGACAGGCAAAGGCCATAGCCGAAGAAATAAGTGAAAAAGCAGTTGCATATGGTTTTTCTGCAGATCTTCACTGTATTAGTGAGTCTCATAAGGTAAGTCATGGTTTTTACAGGGTTTCATACTTTGAAGTATTCTGGTTGGGAAGCGACGTTAAACAACGAAGTGGGATGCTGAATGCCACCATGATCCTTTTTTTTTTTTTAACACTTAGAAATTTATTTTATCAACTGTGTTGCAAGATTCCTGCCAGTTTTTTTCTACGTGTGTGTGTGTGTTTTGAATTAAACTACATAGTCTTAAAAACTAAGACGAATAACTACTCTCAACTGTAAATGGGAATAGTAGTATTCGCCTTGTTTTTCTCACGGGGTGCCTGGGAACAAATGAGTTGTGCGTGTTCACAGGAACATGGGCGCTTTCCACCTCACGAATCCTGCTGCCCCATTTGTAACTTCCCTGAAATTCATGCCAGAGTTCCTGCAAGTGAAGAACCATTGAATTCTTTGGTGAAATAGAAGTTAAAGTGGAGGTGTAAGGATCTGCAGAAGACTTGGGACTGCTTGTTTTTATCACGTTCAGTCTCTGCAGAAGTTCCCACCTTAGCATACATGAGATCGTAACAGATCTGTGCCCAGACTAACTGGTTTGATTGAGACCCTCAGATTATAGTTTCGTACAGTTCAGGCCCTAGCAACGAGCAGGGGCTCCTCCCTAATACCACACAGTGATGTGCCAGCCACTAAGCCCTCGAATTCAGCTCTGTACTTGAAAACCCACCCCTGCAGCGCACTCTCAAGTTCACAACCTCCTCTGGTCTTTCCCGCATCTCTAGTTGTAAAGACTAGCCTGTCAGCAGCAGAGGTGAATTATAAACTCAGTGCATAGCAGGGAAACCATCAAGTTCCTTGATGCAGCAGGGCTAGGGTGGCCCCGATGGAGTCAGTCACCCAGCAGGGAGGGTCCTGGGGGACACCAGCAATCGCAGGCTCCGTGATTCTACAGCACCTTCAAAGTGAATTCACATTGCTGCTGCCACAGGGTGGAGTACAGTCTGTATCTGTTACTACAAAGTCATCAGCATCATATAACCAGCCCTGGTTTGGCCCCCTCACCAGTGACCCCAGTGGGGTCAGCAGCTATTTGAAAGTTAGGTGAGTAGTGAATTTTTTTGCTGCCACCATAGTCATGTTGTTTGCTCTTCCCAGCTGAGTGATTTCTCCAATTGATAGCTCTCTGCTTCCTAGATCATGGTAGTCTTTTTCAAACTAAAGTGACTTTAAACTGCATAGAGTTGTGCTGTGTCCTATAAGCACGGTAAAATGTTAGCTCAAGTCTTTACCTGTTATATCAGCATGAAAAATAAAGTGATGAATTCCTTTGTGCCAAGTTAGATGATATTCTTGAGGAGCAGAGCTCATGGAGTCGATACGAATAGAGACAGGCAAGTGCTTTATTGGAAATACTTAGATTTAGTTGAGAATTAGAATAAGGAAACTTGGTTTGTAAGACTCGGAAACACTGATGATCTCAGTTTACCACTGATGATATTCTCGGCTCTCTGGAACCCTGAGGGAGTCGGGCCCTTCCTGACAGCCAGGTTTCCTGATTTCTGAGGAGTAACACTTTCTTTGCCAACTTTAAAATGCTCTGTGTACCTCTCTGCCGTTATGCGATACAACAAGACGGAAAATTAACCTGATTGCTTTGCTGATGTGTTAAGTCAAAAATACATATAGTAATAGATCTCTGACATGACACCCTTATTTTATAGTATGATCTGAAAACTGAAACAGCGCCTCTTGTGGTGGTGGTTTCTACCACGGGCGACGGAGACCTGCCAGACACAGCCCGCAAGTTTGTTAAAGCCATACAGGACAAGACACTGCCGGGTGACTTCTTTGCTCACCTGTGGTATGGATTACTAGGTGTGGACTGTATTTTGTGCACTTACTGTACTGTTGCTGCTGGATTTAACTCTAGTATCTAAATGTATCTTTCAAAGCCATGGTGTGTAATTGCCTGGGTTTTGTCCTTTTTGGGTTTTTATATAAATACTTTATGTATGTATAATATTTGAATGTAAATAAGGTGCTGTTTCCCCAGTCTTCACCCCACAGCAGCTCCTCTGCAGAGCCCCTGAGTAGCACCTTAACCCCAGGCACACACCAGATTCAACCAGGAAATATTTTCACGATGTTAGTGGCCAGGCCCCACCCTAAACCGGCCAGAACAGAATCCCTGAAGGAGCGACCTGGCATGCTGGTGCTTTTTGGCATTGTTGTTGTTGTTTTAAAGCTCTCAGGTGGACGTGATAGTTTCCCTAGGGGAAGATCCATTCCCCTAGGATGTGGTTCTCAAGCCTGGCCATGCACTGGGATCCTCTGGGGGAGTTTTCCTTCCAATTCCGTTATTTTGAGCCCCCCTCCAGTGATTCTGACTTAATTGTTCTGAGGTAGGGTCCTGGTATCAGTATTTTTTAAAGCTCCCAGGGGACTCTAATATGTATCCCAGCTTAAGAAGCACTGGCCTAGGGCTCTGTGAAGTACAGGTTTAAAATATTAAAGAATCAGAGGACCAGCTCAGCAAGATAGGACACGAGAGAGGGAATTCAGGGTCCATTTGCCTGGCTTGTGATCTGTATTCACCTTTGAGAACTAGTTTGGGGAAGGTATCTAGGAAGGATGGAATGTGCTATGATAAATAATTGGTTAGAGATTTGAGGTTGTGACCCTGGCCAAGATCTGTCGTGTAATGTATTCAAGAGAGCATTTTAGAGTGTTCACATCTTTTTAATTTGTTTTTTTCCAGTTTCTTTGATTTCAAGAGTGGACCTGTACATATTGCTTTAAAAATTCCTCCAAAAATTATTTAAAAGGAAACACTGAAGCTTATCCAACCGTTTTAGTCAGTCTTAGGCCCATATATGGACCCACCAATTGCTTACCTCATTCTTGTAGGAAAAATCCAGGAAGACAATTAAACAACTAAGAAATTTAAGCTTTTAATTTTCAATTTTCAACTAGGTATGAAATATTAGTCCATTTCTTACCAGGAAACATAGAAGCAATTCTTAATTTATCCAACACAGAAACAGAGCAAATAAATGGTTGGTTGTGTTTCAGATGTAACCTCTTTATGTTCTAGATTAGGAGTCAGTAAACGGTAAAGGACAAGATAGTAAATATTTTAGGCTTTGCAGGCCACTGGTCTCTATACCATCTACTTCTCTCTGTTGTTGTCGCTTGAACCTGCCATAACAAGGTGTGAACCAGTAGACTTGGCTGTGTTCCAATAAAACTTTATTTACAAAGACAGTGGGTGGTAATTGGCTCACAGGCTATAGTTTGCAGACCCTTCAGTAGATTGGAAAAGTCTTCAAATACAGATATTACATGTTTTTAATCCTTGTTTACGATTGCCATATTTTTACACAGATTCATGGAAACAAAAATGTGAGATCTATTTCTGTTAATAGTGGTCCAAAGAATTTATTTGTTTCTATTTGTATACTTAGTATTTCTCAAGGAAAAAATAAGAAAACGTGAAGCTATACATTATTTCTTGTTCCATCAACAACAGCATGAAATGGTATTGTTTTAAATGTTTTGTTTCTCTCTTCTGTATGTGGTTAAATTTAAACCTTATTGCATACTAATAACCTATTTGGTCTCTTTAGGTCTGGGTGATTCAGAATACACGTACTTCTGTAATGGGGGGAAGATAATTGATAAACGATTTCAAGAGCTTGGTGCCCAGCGTTTCTA